AGAAAGTTGGAACTATCCCTATTTGCAGATGACATAATCACATACATAAAGAATCCTAAAGACTCCACCAAAAAATTACTAGAATTAATAAATGAATTCAGTAAAGTTGCAGGCTACAAAATCAACACACAAGAATCAATAGAGTTCTTATATGCCAATAACGAAATATCTGGAAACAAAATCAAGAAAGTGATCCCATTCACAGTAGCTAACAAAAAAATGAAATACCTAGAAGTAAATTTAATCAAGGAGGTGAAAGACTACTATGATGAAAACTATAAAACATTGGTGAAAGAAGCCACAAATAAACCAAAAGATACTAGGAACTCAAACAACTTAACAGTAAAAAAACAAACAACTTGATTAAAAAATGGGCAAAGGAGCTGAATAGGCATTTCTCAAAGGAAGATATATGAATAGCCAACAGAAACATGAAAAAAATGCTCAAGATCACTAAGCATCAGGGAAATGCAAATCAAAACCACTCTGAGATATCATCTCACCCCAGTTAGACTGGCTGTTATCAAAAAGACAGAGAATAACAAATGCTGGCGAGGATGTGGAGAAAGGGGAACCCTCCTACACCATTGGTGGGACTGTAAATTGGTACAGCCATTATAGAAACCGTATGGAGGCTCCTCAAACAACTATAGACAGAACTGCCATATGATCCAGCAATCCAACTGCTGGGTATATACCTAAAGGAATGGAAATCATCATGTTGAAGGGATACCTATACTCCCATGTTTATTTCAGCTCTATTTACAATAGCCAAGGGTTGGAACCAACCTAAATGTCCATCGTCAGACAACTGGCTAAGGAAAATATGGTATATTTTCACAATGAAATACTATTCTGCCATAAAAAAGAATGAAATACTGCCATTCGCAGCAACACGGATGAACCGAGAAAATTATGTGAAGTGAAATAATCCAGGCACAGAAAGAGAAATACCACATGTCCTCACTTATAAGTGGGAGCTAAAACAAACAAAAACAAATATAAAAAAAGAAAGATACAATAATCACAATAATATGTTGAACTTTCAAAAGAAGAGAACAGAACTGAGGTTATCAGAGGTTGGAAAGGGGGAGGAAAATGGGGGTAAGGGAGGAATTGATAAAGGGCCACGAAAATTGATTACATTATATAATACTGAATATACTAATTATCTTGGTTTGAATATCACATATCACACACAGGTATTGATATTCAATGCTGTACCCCACAGATACGTACAATCAATTATGTTCCAATAAAAAATAAAAATTAAAAAAAAAACCAAACCAAAAAATAACCCAATTAAAAATGGACAAAGGTCCTGAACAGACACATTTTTCAAAGGAAGACATACAAATAGGCAATAGGTACTTTCTCAAAAGATGATACACAAATGGCCAACAGGCGCATGAAAAAATACTCAACATCACTAAACATCATGGAAATGCAAATTAAAACCACAATGAGATATCATCTTACTTCAGTAGAATGGCTATTATCAACAAGACAGAAAGTAACAAATGCTGGCAAGGATATGCATTGTTGGTGGGAATGTAAACTGGTACAGCCATTGTGGAAAACAGTATGGAGGTTCCTCAGAGAATTAAAAATAGATCTACCTTATGACCCAGAAGTCCCACTACTGTACATACATCCAAAGGAAATGAAATCAGTATTTTGAAGAGATACTTGCACTCCCATGTTCACTGCAACACTATTAACAACAGCCAAGAGATGGAATCAACTTAAATACCCATAAATAGATAAATGGATTAAAATAAAACTGTGGTGTGTATATCCCACACACACAATGGGATACCATTCAGCTATCTATTAAAAGAAAATACTGTCATTTGCAGCATCATGAATGGAACTGGAGACCATTATGTTAAGATATATATATATATATACACACACACACAATGGGATACCATTCAGCTATTTATTAAAAGAAAATACTGTCATTTGCAGCATCATGAATGGAACTGGAGACCATTATGTTAAGCAAGTCAGGCACAGAAAGATAAGTACCATGAGATATCACTCATATGTCGGATCTAAAAAAAAAAAAGTGGTTCTCATAGAAGTAGAGAGCAGAATAACGGTTACTAGAGGCCAAGAGGGGAGAACAGGGGGAGGGGAAGTGGTAGATTAATGAGCACAAAGCTATGCCATCTAAGTGAATCAATGTACAGTATATGTTTATATTGAAACAACATAATATACCCACAAATATGTACAAATAAATATTTTAAAAATTTTTAAAAGAAAAAAAATAAAATTAGGAATTGATAACAAAAGGTCAGCAACAACAAAAATTTCATCAACAAATATAAAAAGCTAATCACTTTAAAAATAAAAAACATTATTTAAACTAATTCCAAGGTCAAAGAGGAAATTAAAATTCCCCTAATGGAAATTAAAAAAACAAAATTTACAATAACATTAAAAACCATCAAATACTTAGGAATAAATCTAACAAAATATGTACAAGATTTAAGGCTGAAAATTAAAATCCACTGATGAGAAATTAAAGACCTAAATAAATGGAGAGATATATCATGTTAACGGATCAGAAAACTCAATATTATTAAGATGTTAATTCTTCCCAAATTGATTTTTAGATGCAAAGACCTATCAAAATACCAGCAGGCTTTTTTGTAGAAATTGACAAATTGATTCTAAATTTTACATAGAAAGGCAAAGACCTAGAATAGCCAAATCAATTTTGAAAAAGCAATACCAAGGTAGAGAACTTACATTACCTGATTTCGGTAATCAAGACAGGAAGCTGCTGGTTTAATGATAGACAATAAAGACCAATGGAACAAAGTAGAATCCATAACAGACTTTCACAGATATGGTCAAGTGATTTGCAATAAATATGCTAAAGTCATTCAATGGAGAAAGGAAAGTCTTTCCCACAAATGATGCTGGAACAATTGGCTATTCATTTTTTTTTAAATAAAATGACTGGTAAGGGATCTTAACCCTTGACTTGGTATTGTCAGTCCTTGTTCAAATGTTAAGTTCTTAGTGAGATCTTCCCTGATCACCCTATTTAAAACTCCAGTCTCCATCGGCCACACTTACAAATACTCCTTCCTGGCTTTAACTTTCTCTACAGCATTTATCACTATCTGACCTCTCTGCCTAGCAGATGCAAACGCAAATCTTACCTAGAGGTATGCACTTTCATTCTGGGCCTCAAAGAATTCCCACACATACTTTTCCAAGAAAAATGAGTAGCTCAAAGACAGCCAGATATTCAAAGAAAAAGGGTGCTGTGATAAGAGAACCAATAGAAACAGACAGCAGAGACAGATCTGCAAAGACTTTGGAGAAGCTGAAGAGATAATTATTGAATTAAAACATACATAAGGAAAAATTAGACAGAACACAGTACAAAGAGATGAAAAGTAAGATAGAAAACATGGAAGAGCAAAGAAATGATTATCACAAATGTCAAAATAAGTATTTTCATTTGGGTAGGTATAAAGATCTTATCAGGAAGGACCATGACAGAGGAGGACAGAGGAGAGTTCTATGGTCCTACAATGTTCTATTTCTAGCTGAATGGTGGCTATGTGGGTTTTTACTTAAAATTATTATTTAAATGATTAAATATACATTTTACACATTTTTTTGTATGTTTAATCTACCTCACAATAAGAAAAAAATGAGAAGGAATAACACATTGCTCCTCATTGATTTTCTAAATAACTGGGCTTTGTTCCAAGTACAAATTCCCTAAAATGGCTAAAATGGCTGGGCATATTCTTTTCTTTCAAAGACAGTACTGTTTAGTAGAAAAAGCACTAAACAAGGGATAAGAGGACAGAGGCTCTCTTAATTAAATTCTTAATTAAGTTCTCTTAAGAAGCTCTCTTAAGCATATTAAGTCTCTCTGAACTGCTTATCTATTAAATGCGGATATTAACAACTGCCTTTATCTCTTGGGATATTTGTGACTATCAAATCAATTATATTAAAACATGTTTCAAAAAATTACAAACAGAAAAACAAATTAAACACAGCAGCTTAGTTTTTATAATCTGAAATTAAAAGATTTTTGTTATACTGGAGCTGTGATGATGCCAAGAGATAAAAATAAAATCCATAAAGATAAAGGTCAAATTCTAACAACTTTCCACTCTAGATAGCATTATTTAGAAAATGGTGTATATGTTATCAGTAATGAGTAAACAAACAGGGTTCTGTTCTGAGAAAAAATAAATATAAAACATTAATTTAACCTAAGAAATGGTATAGAAGATGTCACATTAAAAGTTTAGAGAATGGGCTGGCCAGTTAGCTAAGTTGTTTAGACTGTGGTGCTGATAACACCAACGTCCAGGGTTCGGTCCCCGTACTGGCCAGCCACCAAAGGGAAAAAATTGTCTAGAGAGTGAGATCTGCTCTTGTGTTTACAAAAGAAAACTTAAGAATGTCTTTTGTTCTCCATGAAAAGGAGAAATATACTTTGCCAAGCTACCCATCCAGCACCTTATCCACAACAAATCACAGTCAGGATCTAAATTGTTCTCCCTAGGCTGGTTAGCTCAGTTGGTTAGAACATGGTGCTGATTAACACCAAGGTCCAGGGTCCAATCCCCATACTGGCCAGCCACCAAAAAAACCAAACAAACAAAAAATAAAGTAAATTGTTCTCCCTAAATTGATTAAATGAAACAGGAATAAAACAAAGAATTTAACTGGGCTTCTCAATCAGCCTCAGCGCTAGTATGTGAAAATTAACAAGAAACTGAGAGGCAAGTGTCATTCACCGAAACAAACTTAAACATTAAAGGATAGAAGTTTTATGTATTTATTTTGCCACTTAAAATGTTTAACTACTTAGAATATGATAAAGATGGGTCATGAAGAAAAAAAAAAGATATGACAAAGAGGATACAGAAATGTAATACAAAACAATTAACACTATCACAGTGTTATATAATTTCTCCATATAAAATATTAATGTTCAAAGTTCTGCATACCTGAATGTTCTCCCTACTCCAAGTATGTGGTGTTTTACTGGCAAGTAATTTTAGATCTTGAGTAGCAAGTCTCTTTACTGCTTTCCTGGGATCATTCTTCAAATACTGCAACAGAAGCTGAATCTATAAAGGAAATAAGTCACTCCATGTGCAATACTGTCAAGAAGGGATGCACTGTAGTTTAGTGAAACTTTTAGATTTGAGACAGGAATTATGTCCATTTACAGCTCCGACACTATGCCCATGTTCGGGCCTCTTTCTCCTTGTGTGTAAAATGCTATCATTTACCTTGTAAGGTTCTAGCATGGGAGCTGGCATTTAACAGACACTCAATACTTCCTTTTCATTACTGCCAACTTCACACCCTGCCATGTACACCCCCAACATGCATTTTTTTCAAGGACTCCCAAGAATCAGTACTATAAATATAGAGAAGAAGCAAGCAAAAGGAAATTAAACTGATTTTACTGCCAACTTCACACCCTGCCATGTACACCCCCAACATGCATTTTTTTCAAAGACTCCCAAGAATCAGTACTATAAATATAGAGAAGAAGCAAGCAAAAGGAAATTAAACTGATCTTTATCAGAGAAGAGGACCTTAATGTTATCAAAACTTAGGAATTACATCCTTATTTTAATTATATATTTAATATGTAAGTTTACTGAAGAATAGGCAATTTATTAAAAAACTGAAATTACCTGCTTAGGTGTATCAACCAAAGATGAAGCTGCAAGTAGAGTGAAAGTGTGCAAAGAAACAATCACCATTTTGGTGGAAGGATAGGATGTAACTAACTGTTGTAAAAGCTGACGAGCACTGGAAGCCAGGATTGCATCATGGTGCATGTGCTGCAGAATGGGAATCAACTTCAGCTTCAAGTCTACTGGTGTCGCTAAACCTAGACACAAAAAGAATTCTCAGAGATTCCTGATCATCACTCTTAATATTTCAGATTTAAAAGGTCTGATTCAATTAGCAAAATGTCCATTTAAAAACAAATAGCATACTATTATGTTCATAACGTTAAAGATAATTATACTAGAACTAATCAATAAATTCAATAGTTTTTCCCCAAAAGTGTTTATTTTAATATTAACTTTTCAGTGATTTTCAATGATCGCAGGAAATGCCTTTAAAAGGCATGGTAGAATGCAGTCATATTTGCTGCCTATTTCTTCTCATATCACATACATCACACACATACATGTACACACATACACATATTCAATGGCTACAATTTGATTATATTTATAATTTTAATTATTTCCTTCAACAATTAAATCGAGATCAGGATATAAGGAGACTGTGTAGAATAGTTCTGAAGTTCGCTGAACTTTGTGTAGAAATCTTTCTGTACTGGAACTTCACAAAGATTAATCCCAATGCATCTTGTCCTGTCAACAATGGAGCTAAACGAACAACCAAAAATATCTTTTCTTCTAAGCATGGCTTTGTAGTGATAGAGAGCAAAATTTTCTCAATCATAATGTACTTGACACATGCCAAAAAACTAACTTATACTCTATAGATTACTGGTTTTCCCATTGTGAAATAACTGTTGGTATGAATGTAAGATAGCACTTCAACATCCAATGGTGGCTTACATCAAAAACTCCCTTGTGATTTGTCCGCTATTCAGGTGCGGCTAAAGTGGAGAGCCCCAGCAGGAGACAGGAGGGAGAAGAATGAGGTCACAGTATTTATTCCCTGGTTCCGCTCTGCAGGGTCACATGCTCATGTTGTTATTATTTTGATCTTTATGGTACTGAATGGATTTGACACTGCTGACCACTCTATCTTTGAAACTGTCTCCCAATGGTGTCTACTTTTTCACTCTTTTCCTGGTTTTTGCCCTTTTTCTCTAACTCCTTTAATCTCTAACTACACTTTAATTTCTTTATTCACTTGGGTTGGTAACAAATTGTCTTCTCACCCTATGTACTTTCCCCTATGTACAGAGTGAGCTGATATAAGCCCATGGTTTCCATTATAAGCTAATTGCCAAAGACTGCCATCCACCCTATCTTCCCACCCCAGAACTTCAGATGCATATATCCCATTAACTCCTGGTCATCTCAACTAGGATGTCTCAGAAGCATTTTGCACTTAATAGTGACCAAAAAGAACTTCTGATCTTCACCCTGAAATTTCCCCTCCAAAATTTTTCCCATGTCAGTAAATGACAACTCCATCATTACAGTTCCTCAGAACTCAGAGTCTTTTAGTTTCCTTCTTTCTCTCACATCCTGTTTCCAAATTTATTAGCAAATCTTGTTGGTTCCTTCTTCAAAGTATAACCCCAATCTGACTATATCTTTCCACCTCTATTGTTATCATGCTAATCCATTTCCACTATCCATCTCTTGACTAAATTACCAGAAACGTTTCCTAAGTATTCCCTCTATTTAGGCTTTTCCCCATGGCAGACCCCTATCTCATATCTCTCTTTCCTCCACTGCAAGTCTATTCTGAACCCAGTAGTCAGAGGAATTCTTTGTGTTTACACACATCTTTACTGAAGATTTAGGGGAACTCAGAGATTCTACTTTGCAGAAACATAAGGAGCTTAAAATTAAAGATAAGGATACTCTGTTCCTAAAACTCCTCTGCCATTTCCATATTTTGGGCTCCAATCTTCCTCCACCTTTCCCCGACCAACACACCCTGTGTTTTCCTCCCCCTCTCTCTTCTCCTAATTAAGTTATTTTATTTTATTTTTTCTTTTTTTAAGATAAAACTTAAAGAACTATAAATAATGAATCTTAAGTATACAGACTAATAAATTTCTAAATATGTATATACCCATATAACCATTACTCAAGATACACAGAATACTCAATACCCCAGGAGGCTCACCTGTATAGCTTACATTAACTCCCTTGCTATTTGCCCTCTGTTTGGGTTTAACCAATGGAGAGCCCCAGCAGGAGATGGGAGGGAGAAGAATGAGGTCAGAGTATTTATTCCCTGGTTCCATCTCTGCAGGGTCACATCATGCTTACTAAAGGTCAGTTTTTCAAAGTGGCTCCTCTTGACATGATTCCAAGTATCTGGTAACTACTCCTTCCCCTAGATCCCGGGGAAGTAAAACCTGTTACTAGGCTCAAGGACTATATTCCCCATAGTTAGTTACCCTGCCCACAATTTTGTGAATGATTCCTCTTTTTAAACCCTCTTTGAATTATCCTGTCCTTCCCCTAGATCCCGGGGAAGTAAAACCTGTTACTAGGCTCAAGGACTATATTCCCCATAGTTACCCTGCCCACAATTTTGTGAATGATTCCTCTTTTTAAACCCTCTTTGAATTATCCTAATTCAAATGTCCCATCTGTTTCCTGCTGACATTTTGTCTGATATAGCAGACATTAAATAAAAACCTGTTCAATGAATAAGTAATGCTTCCTTCTTTTTTTTGACCAGTAAGGGGATCACAACCCTTGGCTTGGTGTCGTCCACACCACGCTCAACCAGTGAGTGCACCGGCCATCTATATAGGATCCGAACCTGTGGCCTCCGCACTATCAGCACCGCACTCTCCTGGGTGAGCCACGGGGCCGGCCCAGTAATGCTTCCTTCTAAGGTCACAAAGATAGTCCTTTCTCCAGGAAAGCCCTTTTCCAGTGGTGGAAGAAAAAAATGACAAAGAAATAAAGGAGAACAGGACAAAGCTCAATGACTGTATCCTGGCCTTGAATTAAGTGATTTTTATTATTTATGCAAGTGAGCAAGTTCTCTTTAATTTTAAGTTGAAAGACAATTTAAATGCATATAAAATATTATTACTCTAAGATAACCATGCCCTAGAAAGGCACAATAGCACAGTGGTTAAAAGCATGATCCTTAAAGCCAAACTGCCACTTATCATCTCTGTGACTTTGGACAAATAACTGTGCTTTATTGTGGTTCCATCTCCTTTTCTGTAAAATGGACATAACAGTAATACCTACCCAAGGCTGCCAAGGTGCACAATTCAAAACAATGCTACTTATAGGAATACAAAGAAAGTGGTATTCTCTAGAGTCTTGTAATGCTGTAGCTCCAGAGTTCCCCTTTATGAATGTTATGAGGATAAATGGGGTTAATACACAAGAGGCATGATAGAAAAGATGAAATTGGAAAACTAGGGCTTTGTAGGCCATGGTACGGAATTTGGATTTAATTATACTTGCAACTAGAAGACAATGGAGTGTCAGTGGCATAGAGAGACCCAGGGCTCCTAATTACACTGCTTTCCCCCAGATCAGAATGTTCTTCCCCTAAGTGCATGGCACATCTCTTCTCCCTCCTTCATCCCTCACTCAAATACCACGTCATCAGGCCTCCTCTGATCAACATATACAAAATATAAAAGTCCTTTCTCCCACCCTGCCATCTATTCTTGAGATCCTCTATCATTTTTATCTTTTTTCTCCACAGCACCAGGTATGTCATATTCGTATTTGTCTATTGCCCACCACCACCTTCCATTCCAACTAAAACAAGGACTTGACTTTGTTGACTCCTGTATCCTAAGCACTTGGAAGAGTCTTGGCATATAGAAGACACTTAATAAATATTATTTGAACGGATGGTGACTAGTAAGCACTTAATAAATGTTGGCAACTATTATTAATATAAATCTCATTAAGTCACTTCATAAGACTAAATGAAGCACACATACCTTGAATCATTTCGCTGATTTTGTTACAGATTCCTACAGCAAAATCCCTTTGGAAAGAGAGAACAGCAAAAATGTTAAAACCAAAAAATTAAATTTGTTTAAGTTTTCTAAGGACTTAGAAATAAAACGCAATTAGCACAGGAGAAATGCAATACTACAAATTATAACCAATATTCCAAAGGTCAGGTGCTTGGCGGGGGGCGGGGTAAGAAACACAATTGAAACAAAAATTCCAACCACCAAATGGGCTTCTGTCAACAGTGTTCTAAAGCAGCTCACTCAAGCCATTATCACAATACCATTTCATTTGTCAGTAACACTAACTAGCACCTGAAATTACTTTGTGTTTACATAAAAATGGGGCCTGATATTTTTCACCCCTGTGTTCCTGGTACTTTAGTTAACGTATTCAATAAATATTTCTTCATTAACTATATAAAAACTTTTTACAACAACTCAAAATTTAAAAATCTGTTACAGGCCAATAAACTGCAAACTAGAAGCCTGCAGATTTTTTTTGTCCAATAATACTTTTTAAAATTCTAATGTCAACACTTACATATGGTGAGACTAAACAGAATAATCTAATTTTCCAGCTTCTCTCCCGCCAAATAATCAGACCTGGTAACAGTGGGCATACACTCCTGCACTATAACGATCAGCTGGTGCTACAGGGCAGCTCTCACTCTTCAGTTCACCACAGTCACAAAAAGACACCACTCTCACTGACAACGCTCCCATGGCCCTGTGACCCAGGGGACTAGCTCTTTAAAAACATAAAACCTTAATCTTATGGCGGTAGACAGGGGAAGAACAGGATTAAATAAATTCTCAAGATCTATTTGTTTAAGATCCAACAGTGATAAATACAGCTATTAAGACAAAAATCCATCAGTATTGGTTGAGATATGTGATCTAAAGACTTAACATTATTTCGGAAGGAAGAGGTAAACACTGATTTCAAACATATATATTGCACCAATTTCACACTCTGACATATTTATTTGTCTTTTTTTTTTTTTTTTTTCGTGTCCGGCAACGCATCTCAACCCTCAGTGTCGCGCCCGTACCGGACCGGGACCAGCAACGGGATCGCAACCCTCAGTGTTGCACCCGCACCTCGCTCAGCCAGTGAGCAGGAACCGGTCTGTATGTGGGATCCAAACCCTCAGCGGGAGCGCTGCTGCGCTCCCAAGCGGCACACTGTAGCAGTGCGCCACTGGGCCGGCCCACACTCTGACATATTTAAATAGGTCCTTCAGGCTTTCCCATTGGACTAATTTGTTATTTTTTAATATTACAAATTACAAGCGTGTCATATTAAAGTATGGTATATTAAAAACTGTTTGGACACAAACTACTAATTTAGATGTTTATTGGTCATCAATTCCATAAGTGAAGAATCTTGCCATTTCTATGTTACTCAGTCCTAATCATTTTCCACGACTGATCAGAAATTCCACATCTGAAATAAAATTAGCTTTTGATAATAACACAAGAGAAAAATGGAACTAAAAATAATTCTCATTATACAATTTAATCACTAAATTACAAATAAATGACCCAAATTTAGAAACTAATTTTGAAAACTATTTTTGGAACCACAAGAGATACATATTTAATCTGACAGACTATGAAGCACTGACACCTCAACAGTGGTAATTAGATAACTATTCACTAGGTATAACTCCTATTCAATACTAGTAATTCACAAGAGATACATATTTAATCTGACAGACTATGAAGCACTGACTCCTCAACAGTGGTAATTAGATAACTATTCACTAGGTATAACTCCTATTCAATACTAGTAATTTTTAAAAGTTCTTTCAATATCAATGACTCTCTCAATAAGAAAAAAAAAATGCCTATTTTTAAAAGCACAAAGAGGAACTGTATTTCTCAGATATTTCTCCTCCTCAATTACTGCCACTTCTATTAATTTTGAGTGGTGAAATTAAAAATTATATGCTTTCTATTCGCTACTCTTTTTCCAATGAGTAATCTTGGAATTCTGAAGATTTGATAAGAACAGCTAAAGAGAAGAATATGCATATAGTTAGAATGTGAATAAAGTTGGCTATTACCTCTTTCAGGCCTTATCAAATTCAGCAGAAACTCTTATTGGAAATGTTATTTTTATGTTAAAAAAAATTCATCTGATTATAAAAGCAAAACTTATTTATGGCAGGACATACAGAAATGTATAAAAAGAAAATAAAAATAATATACCATCGTACCATCCAGAGACAACATTTTGATCCTTCTAGTCTTTTATCTATTCCATAAATGCAAATATTTGGTTTTTTTAATACCTGCAATATCACACAAGTTACGATGTAACCTGCTTCCAAATATGTTTCTAAAAGATATTGTTAAAAGGTGATATAGAGTTCTATTGTACGATCATATCATAATTTATCTAAGGGCATGGGTTGGAATTTCGGTTGCTTCTAATTTCTTTTTTTGTTATAAGTTACATTACAACTAGTATCCTTGCAAATAAGTGTCAGTATACCTTGCTGATTCCTTAGCATAAGTTCTTAGAAGTGGATCTTCTGGGTCACAGAGATGCACATATTATCACACATATTTCATACATATTAACAAAATGCCCTCCAGAAGGCAATGCTACTTTTCATATCAATCAATCAATCAATCAATCGGATAATATATTTTTTACAGAGTGTAAACAAGCAGTCAAACACAGTAATAAAACCATAGTCAACATATCCAAAAAAAAAAATTCTGTAAGATAATAGTGTAGGACATGACATGATAAATAGGTTAAGAATGGTTTTAATTCAAGTTACTCTTTTTGCCAGACTGTATACAGCTCTAACAAAACAGTTAACATTCGAAGACAATTAACAAAATGGCAATTTAGTATGATGATGTGTATGTTTGGGAAAAGCTCCTCAGTGGAAAAAACCTCTGTTACCTAATAAAGCCTTCCCTAACTATTCTAAACCATCTATTATGATCCTGTCCTGGAAACTCATTTCATTTACAATTAAGGTCAAAATTTATACTTAAGTTTTCTATTTTATGTAAGTCTTGTTTCCCCGACATGGTGTAAACCCTCTTGGAAAATACACCTTCTTGTTTACATTTTTCTGTATCCCTTAGTGTTTATATACATTGATCAGTTATTCCTTCAAAAACTTTTCTTGGGAAGCCAGATTACTTAAAAGGCCTATGCTTACTTTGACTGTGCAGAGAAGTTTGCAGCAGCAAAAACAGCAGCTTCAACTTCTACATTATCGTGTGAATCCAAACTCTGACGAATACTATGATGAGCATTCTTCCTCTCAGGAATTATTGACGCCAGACTTCCCAACATCCTACAAAAACAGAGAAACCCAAGAAATGGAAATACAGTAAACTCAAGATCAGGAACAGAAGAGGCAAGGCAAAGCTAGGTTACCAAAACTGAAGTTTGTAAGTAATTCCATAAATCTCAGGTTAATAAAGCGTAACTTTAGGAATCAGGGAGTGACTCATATTCTAAACAATTGTACATACTTCAATATGTCAGAAAAATTAAAAATGCTTATCTAACACAAGCAAAATATATATATAAAAGATGACCGGTAAGGGGATCTTAACCCTTGACTTGGTGTTGTTAGCACCACGCTCACCCAGTGAGCAAACCAGCCATCCCTATATGGGATCCGAACCCATGCCATGGCTTTGGTGTTATCAGCACCGCACTCTCCCAAGTGAGCCATGGGCCGGCCCCAAACACAAGCAAAATTTAAAAAAATCATCTTGAAGTACATCCCAGGCACCAAACACAGCCCGGAAAAGAAATTTTTGAATTATTAAAGCATCAAAATATCCACTTTCAATACTGCATAAAGAAGTCTATTTTAGCAAAGCAATAAGAATACAACATTTTTGGGCTGTCCCAGTGGCGCACTCGGTAGAGTGCGGTGCTTGGGAGCTTGGCGGCGCTCCCGCCGAGGGTTCAGATCCCATATAGAGACCGGTCTGCTGACTGGTTGAGCGCAGTGCGGGCGCTACACCGAGGGTTGCGATCCCATTGCTGGTCACGAAAAAAGACAAAAAGGAAAAAAAAAAAAAAAGAATACAACATTTTTGCTATTAAGCAGATCTACAAAGTAAAAACAGTAAAACTTTCCAGTCTTTTTTTCCACATCAGTAAATATTGGTATGATGGTTTTCATATCTGTAACCTCAACATAAAAAGAACAGAGGTAGATGACGCCCACTGGGGTTCATACCAGAATGTGCAATGATGAGGAAGTTTGTAAAACACAGTTGACTTTATAATGAAGTTATAAATTTTGAAAAGGAAAAAAAACCCTATCATTTGTAATATAAACTGCAGAAAGTAAAGCTTTAAAAATCACTTCAGCAGAAAGGCATGGATTTTAGAAAGCTAAGAAACACTGCAATAAACAAAACCTACAATGTTCCTATGATAACAACCTCCTTCAAAGTCAACATCCTAAGTAAACTTCCAACTTGGCGTGTCATCACCTGATTATTTTATGGAGCTGTAACTGACTGGACATTAGTAGTAGAGTTCTTATAAACAAGATACTAAAATGGACTATATTTGTAATTTATATTCAATTTGAAAAGTCTTGAAATTACATATTTTTCAAAAGAAATAACAAATGGCTATTAATCTAATCTTTTATACCAGAAAAGATTAGGCTAATATTGACACATTTTGATTAGCAGTTTGTTACTATGTAATATAACAGGGCAAAAAGCATAATCTCATTGGTCTCTATTTTCTAAAAATATATCTGATAATAATATAATTCATAGCACTATATTTAAAATACTGAGTAGCTTCTAGCTTCTTCCATTCGTTGTTTTAATTTTTAACTCTAAATAGGTTAAAAAATAGAACATCTTTAAAAGATCTTTTTCCCTATCCTTGATCCCCTTTACTTAAAGTTTAAATCATTCTGGGCCGGCCCGGTGGCGCACTGGAGAGTGCGCCGCTTGAGAGCGCGGTGGCGCTCCCGACGAGGGTTCGGATCCCATGTGGAGACCGGTTCCTGCTCACTGGCTGAGCGCGGTGCGGGCGCAACACCGAGGGTTGCGATCCCGTTGCCGGTCCCCGGTGTGGGCGCGACACCGAGGGTTGCGATCCCGTTACTGGTCAGTAAAAAAGACAAAAAGGAAAAAAAAAAAAAAAAAAAAAAAAAAAGGG